CTGTTGGTACACTGGATAAGATTGAAGCAAGGAGGAACAAGAAGGCAGCAATCAATATCAGCCGAACAAGAGCAGAAAAAGCCAAGGCACAAGCCGAATACACAGAGGCAAACAAGCAAGTGAAGAGGAGCATCAGAACCGACAAACGTAAATATGTTGAAGATTGAGCAACGACAGCGGAAAAGGCTGCAAGAGAAGGAAACATGAGACAATTGTATGATACAACAAAGAAACTTGCTGGAAATTACCGTAAGCCAGAAAGACCAGTGAAGAGCAAGGAAGGCAAAGTAATCACCGACATTGAAGAACAACGAAACAGGTGGGTAGAACACTTCAAAGAACTCTTAAATCGACCAGCTCTACTGAACCCACCCAACATCGAGGCAGCACCCACGGACCTCCCAATCGATATTGGCCCACCAACAATTGAAGAGATCCGCATGGCCATTAGACAAGTCAAGAGTGGCAAAGCAGCGGGACCAGACAACATCCCGGCAGAGGCACTGAAAGCAAATGTAGCAGCAACTGCCAAGATACTCCACATCCTCTTCAGTAAGATTTGGGACGAAGAACAAGTACCAACAGACTGGAAAGAAGGACTTCTGATCAAGGTGCCAAAGAAAGGCGATCTGAGCAAGTGTGACAACTACAGGGGCATCACTCTTCTCTCAATACCAGGAAAAGTCTTCAACCGAGTATTGTTAAACAGGATGAAGGATTCCGTGGACGCCCAATTTCGAGATCAACAAGCTGGATTTCGTAAGGATAGATCGTGCACAGATCAAATCGCAACTCTGCGGATCATTGTGGAACAATCAATCGAATGGAATTCATCACTCTACATCAACTTCATCGACTACGAGAAGGCATTTGATAGCGCGGACAGGACAACACTATGGAGGCTTCTTCGACACCACGGCGTGCCTGAGAAGATAGTCAATATCATACGGAACTCCTATGATGGACTAAACTGCCAAATCGTCCACGGAGGACAACTCACCGACTCGTTTGAAGTAAAGACCGGTGTTAGGCAAGGTTGCTTACTGTTATATCGTATGCGCCCGTAATATGTATGAACGTGCGATTAGAGAGGAGTGAATTTATTGATCGGCCGCAAATGATGATTGAAATCGTACGAGCAGTCTTGAGTGCTATTCGGTCCTTCCTATCTGCCTAGCCCAGCCAGTTGAGTCCAGAACACAAATAACAGCCTCGACAATATGAATCATTATTTACAAACATACTGAGTTTTTATACAAAGCAAAGTAATCAATAAACTGATTATAACTCAAGAATCGTATGATCATAAATCAAAGATCAAAATAATAGAAAACACGAATATGAATAATTTAGTTACGTAACAACTGTACAATAAGAAATAGTCATAATACATTGGTCGATAAATAGTCCTTAGAGTTATCATTCATAATTCACCAGGGGATATAACACCTCCCCTTTTTGAGAAATCCGGAGTTGACATCCGGATTTTAAATTTCTCGAATTCACCCTCCCCCACGAAAGATTGTTGGATCCTCATGTACCCAAGTTACCATTATTGTGACATTATTTAAAACATATTCGTCGTATTTAACAGAAAATCCACCAGAACTGATTATATCGTGAGGATCGACGACATTCGATTTGAGGTCACCGGCGTCTGATTCTTTTGAAACACTTTCCTTGAATTTACTCGGAACCTCATTAGTAGATAATGAATCATTAGGATAATCAGTATCTATGAAATTTGTATTGGATTCTTGATTATCATTTAATGCATCCGATATTTTTCTCCCATTTTTATAAGAGATTTGAACTGGAACATATGAATCAGAAAAATAATCGGGATCTGGCAGAACAATTAAATAATCTTGATCACTAGATTCATAAAAAACCTTTTTTGCATCATGACTGGTTTGATTTGGCGCCACTGTATTCAATATACTGCCCGATTTGTTCCCCGTTTCTTCGTGGGCGGGTACTACAGTAATTCCATGAGCATTCAGCAAAACATTGTCTTTCTGTAAACAGGTTGATCCACTGTTTGCACGTCCGTTTTCGGGGTTAATAGGACTTGGACCGTGTATAGGGCATGTCTCTGAAACACGCAGCACCGGACTACTGGGCTGATCATGTAGGACTGTTACTGCTGCATCTAAATTACTGTTTTTCGCGGATTCATAGAGGCTTTCCTCTGCATATTCATTTGTTCTGTAATCGACTTCCAGTTCTATACGCAATTTAGAAATCAATGCGTCAACTTCCGTTGCACCCCCAAAGCATGGGTGATTCAGCAGCGTCGCGTGTAACTTGTCAATGAAATCCAACTGACTCTTTTTAAAACGCTGCTCTTGTCTCTGAATTAGCAACTGAAATTGATCGGAAGTTAAAGCCATTTTTTTACCCTGTCGTCAGTTGTTATATCGTATGGGCCCGTAATTTATATGAACGCCAATTTAGAGAGGAGTGAATTTATTGATCGGCCGCAAATGATGATTGAAATCGTACGAGCAGTCTTGAGTGCTATTCGGTCCTTCCTATCTGCCTAGCCCAGCCAGTTGAGTCCAGAACACAAATAACAGCCTCGACAATATGAATCATTATTTACAAACATACTGAGTTTTTATACAAAGCAAAGTAATCAATAAACTGATTATAACTCAAGAATCGTATGATCATAAATCAAAGATCAAAATAATAGAAAACACGAATATGAATAATTTAGTTACGTAACAACTGTACAATAAGAAATAGTCATAATACATTGGTCGATAAATAGTCCTTAGAGTTATCATTCATAATTCACCAGGGGATATAACACTTACTCTCACCCTTTCTCTTTCTCCTGGTCATCGACTGGATCATGAAGACGTCAACATCTGGAGGAAAGCACGGGATACAGTGGACAGGCAGGATGCAGCTTGACGATTTAGACTTCGCGGATGATCTAACTCTTCTATCACAAACGCAACAACAAATGCAGGAGAAAACGACCAGTGTAGCAGCAGCCTCAGCAGCAATAGGTCTCAATATAAACAAAGAGAAAAGCAAGACTCTCCGATACAATACAATATGCACCAATCAAATTACACTTGACGGAGAAGCTTTGGAGGATGTGGAAACCTTTACATATCTGGGCAGCATCATTGATGAACACGGTGGATCAGATGCAGATGTGAGGGCGAGGATCGGCAAAGCAAGAGCAGCATACCTACAACTGAAAAGCATCTGGAGCTCAAAACAATTGTCAACCAACACCAAGGTTAGAATTTTCAATACAAATGTCAAGACAGTTCTACTGTATGGGGCGGAGAGGTGGAGAACTACGAAAGCCATTATCCAGAAGATACAAGTGTTCATCAACAGCTGTCTACGCAAAATACTTCGGATCCGATGGCCAGACACTATCAGTAATAAGTTACTGTGGGAGAGAACAAACCAGATTCCAGCGGAGGAAGAAATCAGGAAGAAGCGCTGGAAGTGGATTGGGCACACCTTGAGGAAATCAGCTAATTGCGTCACAAGACAAGACCTCACATGGAATCCTGAAGATCAACGGAGAAGAGGAAGACCAAAGAACACATTACGCCGAGAAATGGAGACAGACATGAGAAGAATGAACAAGAACTGGATAGAACTAGAAAAGGAAGCCCAGGACAGAGTGGGTTGGAGAAAGCTGGTCGGCGGCCTATGCTCCATTGGGAGTAACAGGCGTAAGTAAGTAAGTAAGAGAACAAAACTCCACCTAAATCATTTACCTGAGCTACAAATCTTCACCATCTCAAATTTATATACATATTCTTCTGTATTTAAACACTCAAAGTTACTGCAACAAAATGATTGTATTGATATTACTTAATTACCCAAACGAAATAGAATTCAAGAAGCGAAATGACTAACTTAGTAAATGAATATTTATTAGGAAATTAATGTTATTTGTTTCATTAGAGCAAAATATATCTGATTATTAAACAGAGATGGATAGTGGCTAGCAGTGGAATCCAGGACGCGCGTTTCGTCCTATTTGGGACTCGTCAGCTGGATGTACCTGCATCTCAGAGTTGATGTTCACCCTGGGACTCGAACCCAGTACCCTCGCTTCAAACGCCTCAATTGAGGCTATATCGAGGCAATAAGCACAGTATGCACATATGCCAATTAGAGACTTGTTATGCTTGACACTAAATCGATTCCGCGGTAACGAACGAAAGCCAATGACACGATAAGCTATTCTAATCTGTTGTCTCAGGCCCCGCTAACTAGATGAAGAAGTCCAAGGCAAGTAGGGGAATATATATGTATTCCGTAAGCAGCCGAGTACAAGCAATCCAATAAGGGGAAAAGTCAAGCGCATTTATACAGTAACAAATTGTCCTTGAGCATCATTAGTAAATAGCACACATAAAGAAACAATGGACCAATAGCGGTTAAGATAGTTTACAGGTGGGAAATATGACGTGAAGGTAAAAAGAGCGCTTTTGGCGCGAAAACAGTCAAATTCAAATTTTCAAAATAAAATTACAAGATTAAGCCATTTACCAAGTAAGTTCTGGGGATTTGACATCCCCAACAAGACTGACCAGTTGCAGTCCTAACACATCGTTGGGAAGATTCAAACAAGCAACACTAAATGAATATAAATCTGAATCGTTACTTTTTAGTCAATATATGAATAAGCAGAGAAGGAATTTCACAAATAACTAATTTTCATTTATACCTCCTCTTGTAACAACGATCTACCCATAAAATATTATTTAACATGGACCCCACTTTGTAGTTATCATCAGTTAATATGTATATTATTTAAAACACTGAAAGATGTCAAAACCATTTTAACTGAACAGTACATTTATACAAGACATAATCACTCGTGTTTGTGTCTTAAAGTACATTCAAAAAATTGTTATACTTAGTGGAAATCATCAAACAACTGATCACGTGATGGGGTCATTCGTAAAATAAGACACATAAGAAAAGAAATACTAAATCTATTCTTATTGGTTAGATATAGTATATTTATGAAACTATAGAGACAAAATTTTTAAAGAAGTGACTTTTCTACTACTTGAGTGTGTATTTCAATTTTCTCCACTTAGTTTTACATGTTTTCCTTCATTTTACACTATGACGGATTCCTCAAATGTTTTCATCAATAATTTTGATAATAAACCTGAGTTTCTAACACTCATAAAATCGATTGTAAAGAAAGATGATGCAAACCGATTGCTAGCAGTATTAAATAATCTTAGTCAGGATGCTACTACTTTAAATACCACTGACAAGGATAAATGTAACGAAATAAAAAGTAAACTATTTGGTTTTGAGCATACAGTTCTTGGATATGATGACTTATTGCATGTAAGCCTCTTTTTCATTTGATATTTATTGTTTTTTTCGTTCATTTTTTTAAACTGAGTATCATGTAATGATAAAACTTTGCTGTCATCTGCTAAATAGGATTTCAGAAAGATACTTTGATGTAACTATGATATAGTGACTAACCCATATTGGAGTCGAAATAACCTTTTTCTTTTCTCTCAACTACTATTATTGATCACCAATTAGTACGTTAGTCTTTCATACTTCAAAATGTATCGAATGATTTTATATCTCTAATCCATCGACAACCTAGAAGAAAATCCTAAGTACATCATTTGATCATACATACAAGATGAGGCAAAAAACCAAATGAAATTCGTTTGACGTTTAAGTTAAGGAGGATGCAACAGCAATCTTAATATTGTCTTTTGATTTTGAAGTCATTTAGTATTCAATGAACAGCGTCTGTTTAGAAATAAAAAGTATTTCATACTAAACAAAGTGAAACCTATTAGACTATGGTGGTTTTAAACAGTTTGTCATTTTTTTTAAAGACTTATGAACGGTAATTCAATCTTAATATTGTCAAAATATTGCTACTTCATTTATCTGAGAGCAAATATCTTCATGTTATAGAGTTTCTTTCTGAGTCCTTCTCGTAGCTATATATAGTTTTTCAGAAAATTCATCATTGCCTACAAAAGTTTTATAAATAGGTACACTTAAGAGTCTTAAGTTTCATACAAAAGTTCTCCTACTGTTCTTTTTACGTGACATAAAATACAAGTCATTCATTTTTGAATTTCCCAAAGAAAATTGAAACCCGCACCCTTGATTTTGATTGGTTCGTTCCTATTATTTTCAGGTTTCCATGGTATTTTAAAATATAACTCATTTACGCGTGGAATGTTACAATTTTATAGCCACAATAAATATTGTCTTTTGATCCCGGCACAGATACGTTTTTGATCAAACACTGTGGTGATTATCTTCTTTCAAATCCCCGTATCTTTGACCAAAGATCCCATTTTTCATAATAACTAATTGGGTTGTGCAAAGACCAATTAAATTTATTGTGAACATTAGAATTATAACACGCAAAGAAGGACCCACTCGCTTATACATGACTATTCAGCTACAAATATAATTTCAAAGTAATTTTGATCATGAATGAATATTAATTGGATAACTTTTAAAATCCCAGGACGTATTAAACAGACATTTCACTCCTTATTTTTATGATTTTCCAGATGAAAGTCATTCATAATAATACTTACTATCACAGGTGTCTAGCTTAATTATAAAACTATTTTTTTACTGAGAAAGATTTAACGCAAGTATTTGATAAGATTATATGACCTTCGTTTCACGTGTGATAAGTAGATAAGTTTCTCAATATAGCAACTGATAATTTCAATGGGATTTACTACATCAGACCTCCTAAATGAATCTTATTAACAAACAGAATCTGATACTTTTATAAGTACGACTGATTGATGTACGTTTTTATTTTATCATAAATGGATCATCGTCGTTTAAAAAAAAGGATTTCTAATTCACTGTATTGAATTTTCTTATAACTACTAATTCACTGGGAAATTCGACTTTTCCTGCCTATCAAGTCCTGTAAGCACAAGTAAACACCATTTAATACTACTAATAATAATAATAGATATTCTAAACAAAATTCACATAGTTATTTGGATTTTTTTCATCCTATTAATAATGATAACGAAAGCGCATATTATCTCTTCTTTTATAATCTATTTCATATTTATTGATTTTGCTTGACCTTAAACATACATATTTCTTAATTTGGTTAAGTATAGAGCTTATCACGTAATAGATATTCAGAAAAGTTATAAATGTAAAATTCACCGACTTACTTTTACCACTTACCGGTGAAAAATAGATTCAGGTTTAGATCACTGTGGTAAAATCTGGGTTTAGTTAAGCCTGTAACATTACATAATAACTATATAATCTGTTATGATTTTATGTCCGGCTTTTTATCACGTGAATTACCCACCAATCGAAATATGACTTATCCAATCTTAGCACTGTGCCAACCAATGACTTCGACCGGTATGAGCAGTCTAGCGTCCTTATTGGTCCTCTGTCCGCCTAGCCCTTACAATTGAGTCCAGAACACCAATTACAGCTTCTGCTATGTGAATCATTTATTTCAAGCATACTCGGTTTATATACCAGACAGACAGACCTCATCACACCATAAAATAGAAAGTAATGTTTGTACAAGATCAAGCCAAATGTGGCTGTGAACGTGGGAGACAGTAATCAATAAACTGGGTATAATTTAGGAACAGTAATTCGTATAATAATAATTCATAGGTCAAAATGAAGCTTATAATAAGATAAATATAGATATACACAATCTAATTATTCAATAGTTATACAATAATGATATATGTATGGAATAATAGTCCATTAATAAGTCCCGGAAGTTACCTGTACTTTCATCTTCATAAGGATGTAATATAATCCTTTAACCTTCACAATTTAACTATCGAGAGATTTTGTTTTGTATCAATAGATCGTTTTGTTTAAACGTTAGTAAAACAATACTTTAATGTCTGTGTTATCGGTGCTACTGTCAAATTTAGTCTGGCTAACATTTTAGTTTGACTATTTTGGCGAATAAATTAAACTACATTGAGACTTTTTAAAGGATTCTACATAAATGTACACTTCGGTGTGGGACAATAGATTTTGTATACATTTACTTCAAAAATGTATAAGTAGTACAGATTTCTTTAAGAGTTTTATAAAGATCAAATTATATGATTGTTGACAATGCTTTATTTAACAATAATTTTCTTTTCTATATGTTACGCATTGTTACAATTGTGATGATCAGTTCTAATATTCAATGAACCAAATGTCGGTGATATTCAAGGAAGTGTTTTAATCATGTACATAATTATAAACTAGGTCACCTTTCGTGCTTCTACTAGTCATATATCTAAAAACAGCCGATCAACAACACACGTTTTTGAAAACTCCAGTGAATTGATTGTAGTTTACACATTCTTTAAAATTTGTTAAAGGTATTCGTTACAGACTAATCTCAGTTGGGCTGCCACTAAAAATAAGAAAGGATTACGCGACTGTTTCATTCTAGTATGGGGCTGCTCAGTAATATATAGTTATGACCTTGTCAGGTGTCAGATTCAAGATCTTCACATCTTGTGGCAAACGCTTAGGAGTTAAAACCACTGGATTTACGTTGAATGGCACAGGTTTTGAACTTAAACAAATTTGCAATAAAGTGAGGTCATTAAAGGGATCTGAGGATAATCTAGCTATTTACGAACTCTATGACCTATACTTTTTCACTGAAAATTCAGGAGCTTATCCAGAAGTCAGTTACCATTAAAATGAGCGTTATAGCGTAGAGGATTCCTATATTAGAACAGAACAACTGGCCAACTCTTTCTTGTTTTCGTTAACACTATGACTGAAATTAGTCTGCGATGAATACCTTCTACAAATTAATGTCCAACAGACCACCTCATCTAGACTTTAAAAAATTGGCAACTAATAGCCAAAAATGTACATACGAAACCTAATTATACTGCATATAGAATTCTTTGTCTTCAGCTTGCAGTTCTATATCATGCTTCCGCTTGTATTCAAATCTTAATCAACCCACCATATATGTGGAGTCCATATTACGTGAATAAAAATGGGGAAAGTGCCATGCAACTAGCCGAACAACAAGGATGTTTAAAATTGCAATACATAATGGCAGCAAATTCACCAGAAAATTTTTTTGTCACTCCTGAGTTTTCACTTCGATCAGTTTCGTCACTTTTAATTTATCCACAAGCATTTATTACAGAACCATTTTCTTATAGTGAGGTAAGTAGTAAATTATTTTAATCATCGCAATTTAGTATATTTGTTCTTATTCTTCATTTATTCGAAAATCTTGATAATGAAAATAGATTAGTTTGTTTAGAATAAAACTTGTAAATTTTCGAAAGTTGTAGTGATTTTATTCCATTTTCTCAACATTCTATTGATAATGTAGAAAAATAAACAGATTAGATGAATGGTTAAATATCAGAGAAAACCAGGCTGGCTTCAGACCTGGTTGTGGCTGCATCGACCACGTATTCACCATTCGTCAGCTTTTAGAGCACAGACATGCTTATCGGCGTCCGACAATGATAGTTTTTCTTGACTTAAAAGCAGCATTTGATTCTGTAGACCGAGAGGTTCTGTGGCAGTGTCTGTCATTGAAAGGTGTACCTCAGAAGTACATAAACCTTGTGAAGGCTCTTTACTCGAACACTACCAGTCGAGTGAGAGCTTATGGCGAACTGTCATATGATTTTACAACGTCAAGTGGTGTCCGTCAAGGCTGTTCACTATCCCCATTTTTGTTTAACTTCATTATAGACCTGTTGCTGGAAATAACACTCTCGTCGACTGAGTTTTCAGGAATTGATCTCCTACCAGGAGGTCCACTTAATGGCAGTACTGTTGAATTTCTGGCCATAACAGTTACATTGTCACCGACATGAGTAACACTGAGTTCACAAACTCAGTTACTTAATATTTTAATGATTGATATTCTGGCGTAAAATTCACATGTTTTCAATCAGTTAACAAGAACACAAGAAAGACCATTCATGTACTGTGTACATTTAAACTTTTGAATCATGTAACTATATGAAACTAAAGTACTAGACCACAACATAATAAAATAAGAAACCATATAAAACATGTACATAACTGTTCATTTTCGGGATGAAACTGAGTCATGCATTCATTAGTTAGTTAAAATTAAGTTATAGACATTAAGAAATATAGGACAATCAAAGGGTCAATAGTAGCTTAAAATTAAAGTTATTTAAAAATGCCATAAACCAACTGATTAATAAATACACGTTCAAAATTCTCGGGCTGACTCATTCAGAAATATTTTTCTGGATCTTACAATTTTCTTTTATCACTTTCTAACAATAATCATTACCATAAGACTTCGAAAAGTAAATCATTTTGCACAGAAATCTTATGGGCTAAAGAAACATATTATCAGTTGACATATTTGGATGAAGTATATCATAATAACTTTCTGAATGAAATTTGAAAGGATATTTTTAAAAAACTCAGCAAAACTTGGGAATTCCACTTTTTTAATTTCATTTGGTAAACACTTTACTGTCCATCTGTTAGTATATAAGAACGAGGAGTGAAATCAATGAACGCTTTCTCGAATTGTATGCTCATAAGCAAGTCTTACAGTTATTTTATTTTACAGTGATTCTGTACCTAACCTCATTATAGTCAATATATATGAACTATCAAGAAAACTACCTGTACAAATGATATATAACATGTTACAAACTGATATATGGATAAATAAACAATAAATAGTATACATTTTGTATGGGATAAATAGATTTAGTGAATTAGTTATTAACTGGTTATTCGACAAATTTCTTCTGTTAAATTACAATCACTGAGTAAGAACTATAAATAAAATCAAAATAACACCTGAATTTAATCTTCACTTTCATTTCATTTAAACATATAAGTATTGGTACAAAAGAGCACCAGATATATATGCGCCACACAAATCTGATTTGATGAAATAAAATCCTTCTGGTACCCAGTTGAGAATTTTTTTTGATTGGGTTCAAAAACTTTAATATATTAATCTTTTTTAGTTTTAATAAATGACCTGTTATATGCACTGATCAGTACTTTCACATTTCTTGTAAATTTTAATCAAAAATTTATCTAGTTTTCACCACACAATCAATGAAATCAAACGTTTAACCAATTATAATTGTATTGAAGTACTATTCAATGTATTATTAGTTAAGCTATTCTTAAACATATTGGTTAATAAACACCGTTATCTACTTTATTCAGGTTTACCTTTCCCTTCAGTCTGTATGAACATATGATCTGAAAATAATAATTTCAGACCCATTCCATTGGATTTCACTGGATCTGTTCAAAAGAGCTACTAATTAAAACCATTGATTCTGCCATATTTTTTTCTTTCACAGAGAACATCCAGGAAAATTGTGGGATGGAGCTATTAAGAATTTAATAAAAGCCCACTAAGTTACTTGTTCCCATAATTGTTCACGGAGTTTGTCTCAATTTTATCACTAAAATAATACTGTTTATATTGAATGTGTACCCTATCCATTAATGTACAACTTTGAAATAAGTTTAAGAATTATGAATTATATAAGTTTAATAGAACAGAACAGGATTCAATCATAGGTGTCTACGAAGCGTTACTCATGTATTTTGGGACAACTGAGTAAGCACTGCTTGGATTAGGAATAGAGTACTAGGTAAAGATGACCAATCAGTTGGATGGAGGTAATGGATCTTCATCAACTGATGTGGGTGGGATATGTATTACGTATGCTCAACCACCCCCTAAATCGACGGGCGATGTTTTCTAGTACAGGAGCAGGCTGGAAGAAAACTAGAGGCGGACAAACCAGAACATACCATCAGTCCATGAAGCCACTGATAATTGGACTAGGCCATGTTAATAGATACAGACAATCTGGTTGAGGTCCGTGTGATTACTGTGACTAATGGTTAGAGACTTTGAATGACATGACTCAAAATCGTTTGCAATGGCGCAGGTGCATCTATTTTTTGTCTTCCCTCAAATTCTGAGATTCTTAATTCCTCATGACATTTTTTGTTTCACTAATTTATATTTTCTTCTTGAATCGTATTTTCGGCGACTAATCTTTTTAATCACCACTGGTATCGTTACTACTTCTACTAATCTGAGATTTGGCCTGGCAACATCTCTATGTCAATGATTTATGGCAAATTGAACTGGAGTACATACACACAGGTTCTATGTTATGACTGACCGAGAACAGAACATCTGTTTACTTGATGGGATTTCGAGTTTTAATCATTTTCTTTTATTTAACAGCTTTTCACTTGGAATTATTACGATGTTATGCCTGGTAGAGCAGTTGAATATCTAAATAACAGAATAATTGGTCCATATAGATCAGTTCATAATTTATCATTACTTTTTGAATTAATGATTGCAACTCCAGAAATTTGTCCTACAATATTATCAGATATAAATGAAGTACGTAAAATTTTAAATGATATTAAGAAATATTATGAAAATTATAATACAACATTAGATGATAAATGCCGATATACTATGGAACTACATTTTTTAACTATTTTCTCTGAACATATGACAGTAACGCATAAATGGGAAGAAATATGGAATAGATTATTTTATACATGGTTATTTTATCGTACAGTAATTATAAATAAAAAGAATATCAAATGGGATAACATCAACACTTACATGTACATTCAACATCCATTTGAATTACAAGCTATTTGTCGTATTTCATTGAGAAGATATGCAGTACAACAAACAGGTATTTTGAAGAAAAAAATATATTATTACCTGTATTTCTCATTAAATTTATATTTGCTTGATTAGGATACCGTTTATATAAAACTGAGTCAATCTTAGAAATGACAATCTTTTCAACTAACTTCGAGTTTTAAAAAATGGATACTAGTCATTATCTAGTAGGTGATTTTCATCACTGATTAACCTCAGTTGTAGTACTTTTAACAATCAAGAAGCATTAGATAATCCTTTCATCTTAGTGTAGGATTCCATAACAGTGTACAACTATGATCCCGTCAGGGGTTGAACTCAAAACTTCCATGTCTGACTGTAACCGTCTAACCTTCAGACCACTTGATTGAGAACCCAGTGCATCCAAGTTCCGTACTTCAATCAATTAGTCATTTAGCAAAGTGACCATCCAGTATCATTAGTGGCTACTGTCTCACTCCCAACATTATCAAGCATTATCCTTTAATTAGTACTTCCTTGTTATTTATGTAGACTTGGATATTTAGTCTTGACTTACTGATCATTGAAATTATACGTCCGGCGAATAAAATGCCTTAGACAAAATCATTTTTCGTTGCTTCTATGTGAAGTTGCACAAGTTCTTTTATTTTAGTTAATATTAAAATATTGTTGAACGAAACACCAACAATTGGGGTTAAATTACAATAATAATTACACTCCTTTGACTTTTACTTCATAATTATGTTGGATACGACAAGTTAACTGACAATCACTGAAGAAAATTTTTTGTTCTGAGTTCAAAGATCAGGTATGTCATAACGCTACTTATAGTAGTGCTTCAAATAAATCACTTTCCTGAATAGGAATTTTTGTAGTTTATTATCTGCTTGATAAGCTTGGTACTCAGGACGCTCAAAATACACCACAGAAAACGAAATAACGACAGTGTGAGAAAATATATGCCACAAAAGTTCTATCATAAATCAATATATAAATAAACAAGAATAGTACTTATTAAAAAAGACAATTCAACTAACAAAATATTCAAAGTAGGTTTCATCCAGGTAAAAAGCCTACTTTACATTTTTGAAGAATGCAGTTAAAAACGAAATCACGATCTTCACTGACCACTATTTTGAGCTGTCTGAGGTCGCTGATTTGAATCAACTTTCGGGGTCTATCCAGAGTATCATAGTAAATCAACAGATCTCAAACTAATGCAGCTACATTTTATGCAACAAACTGGTCGCTTTATATGATATTAGAAAATAAGCATTAAATTCATCATAATACACCTTAATGAATATGACTGATTTGAAAAATCAGTTGTATCACAAAACAGTTAGATCTTAGCTATTTCTATGTTATACATATATCTAAACGGTAGGATTTGGAAAGTGTTGACACCAATAGGTAGTGTCCACTAAGTAAATCAAAGCAATTCATCTAACAGATATAACCAGAGATGGATGGTGGCTAGCACTGGGATCCAGCACGTGCGGTTCGTCCTATTTGGGACTCGAACCCAGGACCATTCACTTGAAGCGCCATCACGTTGTTTACTTAGCTTATCCACCTTTGCTTATAATTCTTATGACGTAAAGTAATATCGAGTCATACCTCGCAGGATGCATATATGCTAATGAAATACTGATTAATTATGATCCTAAACATCAATGGGAAGATTCAAATAACCAATACTAAAATGAATTATCTATCTATCTAGTTTATTCTGCGTGTGTTCTGATCAACGTATTCAATAAAATCAACTCAAGCAAAAAAAAGGGAAATCTTCAATTTGCGCTCACTCGTCTAATGCCCCAATACCATAAAGTCAAGTCAGATAATATCAACGTTCATACATTTTAAATAAAGCACTTCGACTCAAATTTCCTGAGTTTAACAATTTTTAGCAATATAACCAATCATTTATATAATCCATAAACATTTTCTTTGTTTATTGGATTTACTTCAAATAACAAGTTCCAACTTATATATTTTAATTTCAACAGCGTAATAACTTTACGGACATACTGTAAAGGTGGTGTTTCGAGACACTAATGTTCGTTATTCCTTGGCTTAATACTAACTTACTTAGCTAAATGTTTTGGGTTTTTTTAATGTAACATCTGTTCGCACTTTCTTATTTTGAAAGCATATTAATATTATTAAAGAGCCCTAAATGAACTAAATTAACCAAAAATGTGGTAACAATAGATAAAGGAAGGGCAATTTTTTAAAGATAATAAACAATCTCAGCTTCTGTGAAACTATTCCTTCAAGATTAGGTGAATGTTCATATAGATTTATATAACAACCACAGTTCTCAGAAATTTCTTCACTATATAAATATGAGTTTTAGTTTAATAAATACTCTTTTTAGATAACACGTATAAAAGTCCTGAAATGTAGTTGAAATGAAATACGCATATTCTGTTCATTTTTCGTGAAAATAACTACTGTTCGAAAACAAAAACAACTACGTTTTCCCTACACACCCTTTGCTACATAGAGTTTTAAGATTGTTCCATTTCTGTCTTTTCAAACTACATTTCAAAAGACGAATTTCATTAGACTTGATATTATAACCATTTCTACTTAGAGCCTTCATTGTGTTATTGTCCTCTCCCTATATGCTTACATAAAATGTGAGATTTGAAATTAAGCATAATTTTTTTTACCAATTATACGTTCATTAATAGCGATTAGCTATTAGTCAGAGGTATGAGTATTTATACTATTTACAAATACTTTTACGCTTTCCTACAGTTACATCTTGTAAACCGAAGCAAAGTGTTTTCTATCAACTCTGACTTCGTATTCGTCATACTAGATTGATAACTACATATTTGTCTTTATAAAAATCCGAACCAGTCCGTACATTCCCCGACTGTTCCAAGTGCTGATTCTTATTTACAAGGATAGATTTTTTGCATAAAAAACATTATTATGGACAAAAACGTGACGATATTCAAAGATAGCTAAGTTAAAAAAAGCCTAAATTTGAACATCAATGTCAGTTGATAAGAAATTGTGCTCAACTTACAAATCCATCTTTGCTGATGGCTATAGTTGCTCCTCATTATTTTAAGATATTTGTCTAATGATAATTTAATATATTGTAAGGAAACAAATGTTAAGCAACAACTACAGCAACGAGTCAATCTATACTTTTTTTCAAGAATAAATCGTCTTCACTATTGCATTTATGCAGAATAATTTGGACTAAGAAATATCTCAAATACATGACGTCGCTGTATGAAAGTGAATTTTGCCAGGATTATTCATAAAGCTGTATATTTGCTGTTATCATATATAAATTATTTTCTTTTTGAATAATTGCTTTCATCAGGTGTCAACTACGCTTATTTCGTTAAACATTTGGATTTACCAATACACTTGAAAAATTACCTACTCTATAGTGAATACTGGTCCGTTTGAAAATTCAGAAACAATAGAATCATACTGACGTACATAGAAAATTATGTTTACAGATATACTTGAATTTTGTACATGTTTCATACTGATATACACAATGTAAATACCGATTCTAAATTGAAATTCATGAAGAGTTATTTCTTAAGCAAACTTGTGCATTACTACTAAATTCGGTGTTATTTTAAACATTTTGGTAAGCTACTCAATTTCGTTTTAAAGACGTAACAGCCTGGATTCGTGTTTAAATAAATTGTCAAACTAAATGATATCCAAAGTCCGATTTGTTTTGACAGTTTGGGTAAATTTTTGTCAAAACCCGTAAAGTCAGTCACAAAAGAATAATTCACTCGAACTAAAGAAATCATAAAACTACACAACTATTCCTAACAGCTGTAGTGACTTTCGGATTAGAGACATCTAAAGACCACTATGTGTTAGGTTAAATCAAAATATAATAGTAAAACTGTTTGAAATAACTGCTAATACTTGTCCTTCAAAAATCACTATCGGCTGGGACGGCAATGGAAATCCATGATTATTAAATATTTCGTACAGTCAGAATACAATTTATGGGCCAACACATAGGAAAATTTTCCAAAACTGATAATTGTATTAGTTTATGATGAAACTTAACCTATCCGATGATCAAAAACATTTCTTCGATACATATATACATCAGCCTAAACTGCCTTACAAATCATGTAAACCAACCCTAATCTGCTGCTATCAATGTAGCCGATAGTTAACATTTACTAGTCGAATGCTATTTTGAACGGTACCATTCAATGAATCTCCACACTACTAACAGTAAAATATTTTAATGAATGATATAAATTATTTTGGTACTCATAATGTTAAATTAGTAAGAAAATTCATTTTGAAATAAATGACGTACTCTTTGACTATTACTTAGTCCTAGAAGTTTCCTAGCTGACTTCAAGCTTTTTCTATCAATACAGTTGATTAGGTTATTGTCTGTTTTTAACGGTTGACATGAAGTTATACTGTATATTGTTTGATGAATAAAATCTAAAACTAAGATGTAATCAAATTTTCGACAAATAATAGTAAATAAAGACTGAAGTTGAAGTTAGACATTAACACCGTTGGATGCCGGCTCAGTGGTCTGTCGGTTAAGGGCTCTGGCTCGAGACCGGTGTATGGTCCTGAGTTCGAATCTCGCGAGTGCGGGATCGTGGATGTGCACTGCTGAGGAGTCCCATAGTAGGACGAAACGGCCCACCAGTGCTTCCAGGTTTTCCATGGCGGTCTAGCTTCAACTGACTCACGCTTTCAACTATTAAAATACTAAAATCTCCACAAAACCCCTTCTGATAATAAATAAAGTAATTTTGAGAAAAGTAAGTTTATTAATCAATATTAGAAAAATACAGCGGTGAAGAACAGAAAAAGTCAGAAAATTTTTTGATCTGGGACAAACAAATTAAAAACAAAATGATATTTGTGGTTACAATTATGACTGATATGAAGCATAAAAACACAGGATAATTAATAGAATTTTTACAACTATCTATTTTCATAAAAAATATTGTTAATCATAGTATCTGTTATTTCATTGCGATGAAATCGGTTTGCTTTAACGACCTTGACTTGAGATCTATCCAAATTCGGCCATAAATCACAATAGGACAAGAAAGCACGTAGTTTTGCTGGAATAGGCAACTTTTTAATAAGGCTAGCATAATTACAATACTTCACTGCGTGGGATTTTTTGTAGGCTTGTCTACGAACATCTAAAATGAGAGGAGCAATTGCGATAGAAATATGCTTTTAAAAAATAACATGACGGAAATATCATATTCTTATTAAATGGTAACAAACTATTTGGAAGGTAACTTAGTAAACTTACTACTATTGTAGAGGGGTTACAAACTTGATTTTCAAAATACTGATTTACAGGTACATTGTTGAATCACTTTAAAATATACTAGTTAATCTACGGAATTGACTTTTTAAAAAAACCATCATAGCCAGTAATTTTCCGAAAGAAATTGTTTAATGTTTCACAAACTAAATCTTTACAGTGAAAGTCTATATGAAACTGTTAATAAAAATCTAGTACAAGTCGGACGTTACACTCTTACTCATATAAATATAGAGCTTTGGAATGCCTATGGTGATAGAATAAACAAATGTTGCTCTTCAGAAACTCTAGTCAATCTAATCTCCTTGTGATTTTCATCTTTATTCTTTAATTAGGATGTCGGAATCGCGACAACAGACAGAAAAGTTTTGGGAAAATTGGTGTTATAAAACATGATAACACATTTGCCATTTATTTAATTTTTAGTGAAGATTTAAGATATAATTTTATTAAAAATGATTTGCAATTATGTTATATCGATTGAGTATGCCTATTAGAGAACAGTGAATTTATTGATCGTCCAATGATACACAAAAGTCGTGTGTGCAGTCTTGAGTACTTATCAGTCCTGCTATCTGCCTAGCCCAGCCAGTTAAGTCCAGAACGCCAATAACAGCGTCTACAATATGAATCATTATCCTCGAACATACTGGTTTATATATCAAACAAACTGACCACATCGTACCATAAAATAGAAAATAATATTTGTACAAGATTTAGCCAAATGTGGCTGTGAATAAGGGGAACAGTAATCAATAGACTGGGGATAACTCAAGAATGGTAAATCGTATAATAATAGTCTATAAGTCAAAATAAAGCTTATAACACGAGGGACACGAATATGGATACTTTAGTTACTTAACAATTATATAATAGGAGATGTACATATCACATTTGTCCATAAATAGTTCTCAAAGTTACTTACGCCTGTTACTCCCAATGGAGCATAGGCCGCCGACCAGCTTTCTCCAACCCACTCTGTCCTGGGCTTCCTTTTCTAGTTCTATCCAGTTCTTGTTCATTCTTCTCATGTCTGTCTCCATTTCTCGGCGTAATGTGTTCTTTGGTCTTCCTCTTCTCCGTTGACCTTCAGGATTCCATGTGAGGTCTTGTCTTGTAACGCAATTAGCTGATTTCCTCAAGGTGTGCCCAATCCACTTCCAGCGCTTCTTCCTGATTTCTTCCTCCGCTGGAATCTGGTTTGTTCTCTCCCACAGTAACTTATTGCTGATAGTGTCTGGCCATCAGATCCGAAGTATTTTGCGTAGACGGCTGTTGATGAACACTTGTATCTTCTGGATAATGGCTTTCGTATTTCTCCATGTCTCCGCCCCATACAGTAGAACTGTCTTGACATTTGTATTGAAAATTCTAACCTTGGTGTTGGTTGACAATTGTTTTGAGCTCCAGATGCTTTTCAGTTGTAGGTATGCTGCTCTTGCTTTGCCGATCCTCGCCCTCACATCTGCATCTGATCCACCGTGTTCATCAATGATGCTGCCCAGATATGTAAAGGTTTCCACATCCTCCAAAGCTTCTCCGTCAAGTGTAATTTGATTGGTGCATATTGTATTGTATCGGAGAGTCTTGCTTTTCTCTTTGTTTATATTGAGACCTATTGCTGCTGAGGCTGCTGCTACACTGGTCGTTTTCTCCTGCATTTGTTGTTGCGTTTGTGATAGAAGAGCCAGATCATCCGCGAAGTCTAAATCGTCAAGCTGCATCCTGCCTGTCCACTGTATCCCGTGCTTTCCTCCAGATGTTGACGTCTTCATGATCCAGTCGATGACCAGGAGAAAGAGAAAGGGTGAGAGTAAGCAACCTTGCCTAACACCGGTCTTTACTTCAAACGAGTCGGTGAGTTGTCCTCCGTGGACGATTTGGCAGTTTAGTCCATCATAGGAGTTCCGTGTGATATTGACTATCTTCTCAGGCACGCCGTGGTGTCGAAGAAGCTTCCATAGTGTCGTCCTGTCCACGCTATCAAATGCCTTCTCGTAGTCGATAAAGTTGATGTAGAGTGATGAATTCCATTCGATTGATTGTTCTCAAAGTTACCATTCATAAATCTCCACAGGATATAACAAATTGATTTAAAGTCAGTTTAAACAATGTAACTAACTAGTTTATTTAAACAAATCTTTGGATTCAACATTGTACTCCACATCCTCAATTGCTTCCAAAATTTGGTGAATTGCAAATCAGTTGTGTGATTAATTGTTCTGTCAATAACGCTGATTTAACCTACATTACAGAAATTATCAAACTAACTAGTGGAAGAACCACTACAGCACTGTAAAACGAATTACGATTATAGTCTAACAAGATTATTACTGGTACTTGTTTTATGGTTTTCTACTGTATTGGGTTATGATAGACCAAATCACCCAAAGGGATGGAGCTACTATATTTTACTTACAACGTGCTTCTTCAGAGTCATACTTGGTTGACAAACTAAATAAAGCTTCACAAGATTGAACATATACTCTAAAACTGGGAATACCTGTTTAATTGTACTTTCAATCCATCAGTGTGAGATATGCTCTGAATGATTAAAAGTAAATGTAGTTCACCACTTAACAATCAATAAAATGACTTTAGACGTACATAATTTATAAAAGCTAGGAAATTTTCAACAAACTATCCTGTTTGGTATCTCTGAATTTAAATTCAGCAACCAATTCTATCGATTCAGTCGATCTGTAAGTTTGAGGATGTCAGTGAGGCTTTTTTTAATATCCTCCATAATAATGAGCACGTTTTAGGGAAAACTTAGCAGTGTTTTCAATTTGTTTTTATTTATGCATATTTCCATTAAAAACATTTTTAAAAAGTTTACTTCCTAATAACTGGTTTTATGTCAAATAAGATACTATTTATTCTGATGTACTAAGGTAATGCATTTTGGTCGAGAGTAAGGACTGCTAGAGTGACCAAGTGGATAGGAATTTTTTACTTCTCATGATGCCTTTTCAATACAGAAACGGAAAAAGTAGTAAGTTCGGGTCAGAATGTGAATTTTCTTTATCTAGTGAAAAGGATTTACTGTTATACCAGTGTAGTGGACGCTCCTCACGGGGTTGTTTGTAAGTAGTGTATAGCTGAACTTGGTATCAAAGTTGCAACAACGGTCAGACAGAGTGAACAGTTTCAGTACATCGAAAGCACGGCGTTGACTGAATACTCGGAGACCAAGCGAGAAGAGAGTTCAGATTGCAGAATACATTAAGATGCAAATGGACGATTGAAGGCTATGTATATGTATTAAGTAAATACTTTGTAACTTCTCACAACAAATATACCTGCTTCCAGTCTATCGCCTTCATACACTAGGAATAATGATATAATCCCACATTGTTTATTGACAATATCCCACAGAAATATGGAGCATACAACCTTATCCCTAACTTGTGATATATCTCTTAGTGTAACTGGCAACTTTAATATTACTAAATTTAAAAACACATTACAGCCTAGGGCAACTTGACAAAAAAGTGAACCTACGGTGACTCTAGAAGATATCCCTTAGATTATTGGAAACAGGAAGACATAAGTAGGCAACATGAAAATTCATAAAATCAAACAACGTAGTACAATCGTGTTTTGTTGTTTATTAGTCCGAATCTTACTGTCCATCTTTATGAGCTTATTCAGAGACAGCGGTAATTAGGACCGTAATTCATGAGACTGAACTAACAATCTCTCAGTCAACATATTTTTAACACTTACCTATGACAGTTAAAACGTGTCTTCTGATAGTAATTCGACAAAAATCCATAAGACTTAAAGGACCGTAAGAAAGAACGTGCTCCTGATCACATTTATCTAACTGGTTCCTCGTGAGTGATCGATGCGACGCCCAGGCGATAGATAAATCATGCCAACTAGTATTCCAAATGTAACTGTCGTTATTGAACAAACAATTTGGATAAGATGCACAAGAAATATTATGAGAATTCACTAGGGAAACCCGCCCAAGAGCTAACCAAAGAACAGTATTAAGTGGGCAAACAGGTCCTGACAGTAGAAGTTCAAATAATAAGATGATATTTTCAGCTGTACATTGGATATTATCCTCGCCATACATACATGAATCGAATAACCAAGCTAAATCAGAATTTTGAGAATCATAGTTCTGAAATTAAAAAGATATAAGCTTCTGTGAACAAAGATAATATAATACCGGTTCAACTAGAAATAATTTAGGGTTTGAAGTCACTAAAACAAAGCTTTCTCGCTTAAGAGTACGATTAGCATCATTGAATTGTCTATGTAAACCACCAACGGTTTGTGTTTTTAAGTTGACCACAAATACATGTGTCGTTTTCGCAACTATTTTTCCATGGTCATATATTCTTCTAACAGATTTGAATCCTAACAAACTACAAGATACTGACGGGGCTGAACACTTGTGTTTAATTGAAAATATGGTATACTCACTAGCTTGTTGAATTACCACTTCAAATATGTAAAAAATTTCAGTAGCAAAATCTGTAACTAATACGTCGATTGACGCTTGTTTATACGAACTTTTCGATATTTTTGAAATCAATTTGATGATTGCTGAAAATGGCGTGAACTGCTATTGCTGACTTAATTTGAAGTCCATCCAGCTCTACAGGATTATTAGGTTTCTTTGTGTACCTAATATGTTCTTTGGCGCGAGTCAAGATTTCGCGAGATGACTCTCCAATATAGAAGGCATCACAATCGATACAACCTAATTTGCAGACGCAGTTCTGTGTCGACATGAATGGGATTTTTTCTTTTAATCGAACTAAAGTATTTCGAAGTGTGTTCGTTGTTTTGTAATATACTTTAATTCTGTGTTGTCTTAAGACCCTTTGGAGTTTTTCAGTTGTGCCATGACGGTAAGGTAAAACTGCAGTACCAATCCATGGAGTTTCATTCGAATCATTATTATTATTACGTACTGAACTATCTTGTTTTAATATACTTCTAATAATCTTCATAGGAAAATTATTGAATTGTAAGATGCTAATTACATTCTTTTGTTCTTTTAGTTTGTCCTCTTCTGAAGTGATGACCTTGCCAGCCCTTCTAAAAAGATTTAAGGCTAACGAGATTTTAGCACTGAACGGATGTGCTGAATGGAAGTCAATATAACGATTAGAGTGTGTGGGCTTTCGGTAGATGGATAGACTTAGAACTATTTATTGTTAAAACTACACACAAATGAAGTACATTACAAGACAACCAACACTTCGAAATCCTTCAAATAAATGAATTTTATTCTGCAAATAACTACAAAGTGCATGCCGATTAACAAACATGATCAGGTTATTAAAAACAGCAATATTACATGTAAAAACATACATACGATCTCAAATTGTTCGAAATGTATTTTATAAATTGCTTTGGGATAACATTTTTCATATGAATTACAACAATGTGAGGCGTCAGCTGAGAACTATTAGTTTGTATAAGGAATAAGATTCCCTTTAGGTCAATACAGAACTGGTTCTACACATTAGGTTGTATCGGTTGTGATGCCTTCTATATAGGAGAGTAATCTCACGAAATCTTAACACACGCCAAATAACATCGGAGCTACACGAAGAACCACCTAATGATACTGTAGAACTTGGAAGACTCCAAATTAGATGGGCAATCATATTGCATGTCATCTTTGATGACCATCAAATCAATACTAAAAATATCAAAACAATTCAAAGAGACTCTTCCAACTACAAAGGAAAGTAGTAGCTGAAGCTGCCCATATATTGCTAGACCCTACTGTCTTCAAAAGAAAAGAAGGCCTCAACATTCATTCAACTTGGATCAAATTCTATACACATTTCGCACCACAGTCACACATATGAACTCAACTCTACCTATTCACATTGCAAATATCACATTTTTCACACCCATAAACGTACACACAAATACACAAGTACGTTTGACAACAATCACCTTGACCGGAGCGACATGACATTGACTTAATCAGACCCGGTTTTGATCGTACTAAATATTTTTGTTTATTCCCTTTATACTATTTAAATCCAAGTTGATTTATTTGGTTTATTTATTCACCGAAGAATTGTCATACAATGAGTCGTAAAACATCAAAAATGTCATTTTTTACTCAGTGGAATATTACAAATATGTTGTCCTTATCACTCCTTTCATGTTACGACTATGCAATGAACATAGTAACAATGAAAAATTGTTAGTGGTTTGATTTTGTGAACTACGATTTAGTTTTAATGTCCCTACTTTTAAATTACCAAAAGATTCCTAACCTTCATTTCAAAATAAAATTGCCGTAAACATACTTTTCAGTATCTGAAACAAATGACTTACAATGTTTAATGCTTCTGATATCAATTCAACAGAACAGGGCTCAATCAACAGAAGATCGGCAGAGAATGGATGTTTTTTATAAGAATAAGGAGAATCTGAATGTGATGCAATGAGATAAACAACAGGCAAGTAATGTCGCCTCATAGCTAAGTCTAATGGAGTATGACCAAGAGAGTTAGTGGATTCTGAATTCCAATAGAAAGGTGGATTTAAGAGCAGATTAATACACCGACTGGCTGATTGGTGAACAGCGAACTAAAATGTCCAATGCAATAAAATAAGTGATTTTTTTATACATGTGTAAGATGTAAAAATTTCAATGAGTATGAATGTCAAAATATTTTAGTACATACATGACAGTTATCTGATACGTCTCCCACTGTGACTTTTTAGGGGAAATTTCTTATTTATTAACCTGTTTTAGTTTAGATTCCCTTTTTTTACCTGACGCAAACAGGAGACCACCCACATTTACTGGGAAAACGATCATCTGAAGATCATTATTCGGCGAATGTTCAATAACCACTAGGTTGATTAACGACTAAATCAAAATCATTTAGTTCACTCATAGGATTCAGGTATTATAAGCCTGTATGTGTCGATAAAATTCCACTTGCTTCTTAAAGTTATTTATAGTCTGATGTAATACGAGAGTAGTATCATTATTTAATCAGAATCCACTACATATCTTAATTTAAATGACAATTTGATAGTCCTTCGGTCCACAAATGCCCTGGTACGGCTGAGGGTAGGGAGAGTCAGCTCTCCCTCTCGGAATGCTCTCACATCCCCATGCATATATAGACACTGTCAGGGCAGTCTTACTTATTGCCTTCTCGTGGCGGGAATGTTGTTTACGGAGTTGAGAGGACGAAACGCCAATGTCCAGCGTTTTAACCGGGTTGGTAGATGTGGATGATCTATTTAAGGGAGTTGGAAAACCCTGATTTCAAACCAGTAGTGAACATGAGCTCCAGGATCCTGAGGAGACAAATAGCGTATGAACCTATTGTTGGTCACCGACTATCATGGGATTGCACCATCCAACGTCACTTCACTGCCTTGTGGATAAGACCCCTAGGTTAAAGCATCGGGAAGTGACTCCCTAAGGAAACCACATACTTTGGTCTGGGCACCCGGGTAATATCATAGCATTCACACAAACCGAATGATAAAGTGTGATGCACATATATTCGGTGCCTTCTTATACCAACATTTGTGTTTGAATAAAATAAATAGAAAAAATGGTCCTAAAACAGACAAAAGGTACCAGTAAGTTCATTATTTGACCTCAGGGGAAATAGAATACTAAGTGATTGAGACGAGCTGAGATAAGATAATCTGGAATCCCGTTAGATGCTGAGCAACTCAACACCACAATAGATAACATAGTTTTCCAGAAATTCTGATGTCTCTGACTAATTAGAAGGATTTCGATACAAAAAAGCGTAACTAAGACTTACCTGATAACGTGGTTACTAATACACAGATTAGTGGACTTAGTGGATGCTAATAACACCAATAAGTAAAAGTGGACAACATAGTGAATCAGCCGTGATAATACTGTGAAAAAGCACAGCAATAGAATATTGTGATATGCGAGATGTGACTACCACTGATACTATTACTACTTTTACAACTACGGGGACTCGTTTTAGGAATTTCATCTCACTGTGCTAATGTGGTGTGGAAAATTGGACTGATGCATGTGTATGATCCTACGTTGCGCATGACTGACTGAGAATGTAGACAGATGAATCAGTATATAGAAATAATATTTCAAGACCTTGCGATGGTGACTTATCAGCGAAATTCATAGTCTATCACAAGAATTAAAGAATTTCATTGGTTTTAATATGTAATTGCGGTCCCAACTGTGACTTTTCACTTTGGTTAGTATTGAAAACCAAAGTTGATGCTGGATAGCATTGGGAAAACACTATCGATACGAAAGAATACAGACATACAATAATATAGCATTTATTCTTTATCACAACCCACAGAAAAAAATGCATCTGAGCCACTGGATGATTTTCAGTCTAGCCGGTTATACTAAAATATCTCGTGAAGCGAACGAAAAAGCCAAGAGTTTTCTACAATGGCGTGTTAGAATAATTGTGTTTTGTCCGACCACCTAAAACATTTGCCTGAACTATTCGAATTCAGCCGGCACAGTAAGTTGGAGGTAGTGGATAGGTTGGTGGACTGCGACTCGACATGCTTGACGGACGAGTGGGCTTAGATACAAAATAATGGTGCGCAGAAACATATAGACACTCAACCATTGGATCTGAGAAATAACAGTAAAAGTGAACACATCTCATCAATCCTCAAGTTGCCAACTATGGAGCAATGGACACAACACCCGTCCCCAACCTGTAGGTTGCAGGTTTGAACCCCATCCCATCTACCTGGGTTTGAGTAACCCAGTAATGTCGGTAGCTCCACCACAAGAAAGTATAGCTCGAATTGGAACACGTCGACAAACGAATTACATTACTATTCCTTAGATTGTGATTTATCTCATTAGCTAAAAGAATCATAAACAGTTAGTTTATCTCCCGAGCACGTTTAATAGGGACACAACCTATGTGTTTGCGGTAACCAAATCTAAGTGCAGACTCACACATGCGAAACCAAAACTAGCTTCTGGCAATTAAAATGGTTGAACTTATACTAATCGAAATGATCAAATAACGTCACCTAGGTTAACAGTTACATGAAATAGTTAAATCAACGTAACAAAAATAAAGCATGAGTTATTTTGACAAAAGTAGAGTTGTGTACATCGCGTCAAAAACGTGGCATGGACATACATGAAGTAGGTTCTCACGTATTTGATGATTAACAAGACTTTCCTCTGTTACTAAATCACTTGTAAACGCAGTCCCTTCGTTTCTCAATACATCTCGGAGTTTGTCAGGACAGTCATTCTTAATCGCTTGCTCAGCTTTGCTCAATGAGTTGGAAAACCCTTCCAAAAGCTCAGCCATGTTGAAGTTTCCAAAAACTAAAATTTTAAAAACACAAAAACACAAAAACCGTATCAGTGGCTGGAAGCTGTTTTTTAAGTGCTAAATGTCACTCCGATTATTACAACAAAAGTCGATGTTACACTGTAAGATACAGAACAGCTTTTGGTTGTTTTATCAAGAAAGTTGACAACGGTAAGGCTATAGGACGAAACAGGATCGCTTAGTGTAACCAAGATCACCAAAAACTAATAGGATAAGCTAAAATCGATAGTAAATATTTTTTTGTGAGGGGAATATAGCCTGGCGTGATTTGGAAATTCAATATTCTCACAGAACAAACATTCGTTCTTAAAATTTGAGGAAAATAACCTTAGGTGATACAGAATGGTCCTTCCGTTTCGTACATTATTCGGGACGACCCTACATTGAAGACAGGCATTGTGACGGCTTTTTTGAGATGCACATGTTCAACGAAATATCTCAAAGGTTTATGGGGTTTCATAGTTAATGTACAAGCAAGATGAGCGCTCCCACGAATCATTCATGGTTGAACAGATCGAAGGTGGCGAAGTGTTCGGACGTGCTGAGAGTCGAATACTTTGACCACTGAGATGTCACTTCAACTGAAAAGCTACACATACTTTATTGTGATTCCATACATCACATAATACTCTACCAGCTTTGCGATTACGGAGGTAATCTGAGGGTATGCACATTTGGTATATCGGATGTGGAAAGTATTTGGAAAGTGAATTGATTAAATTGATGAGACGTGATACATCATTATACATGACTGACCAGAGTATCAAGAGGAAGTAGCCATTGGGATTACGTGGATACACAGACGTATACTCGCTAGGTCACACATCCGAACCTATTCATTAGGCACAAAGCGACCTTGAGGAATCCACGAAGTAACCTTCAAATAGATCAAATGGTTGAGGACGGAATAGAAGAAGCTTTCGCTTAACGGGCTTCCGTGTCTGGTAGCAGTAGATCACCAATACCTCCAGGCTAAAACCTAGGTATATGAACGATAATAGAGGGAAAAAAAGAATTTGGTAAATCCTAATAATATGTTATCCTTAGTCCTTAAGAATAGGTCGTTTCCTCTTAAAGGACTCCTGGGAAGTCGCTTGGACTAGCTCAGTAGGTAGCGAATTCCAGCACTTGACAACTCTAACGGAGTAGAAGTTGTGTCTACAGTCTGTTCTGTTATGTAGGGTCTCCAATTTCTGGGTGTTACCTCTCAGGTTAGTGTTATGACTAAGCTTAAGAAGTTGTTTAAGGGGATGACCAGAAGTATTAAGGATACTGTAAGTCATAAGAAGATCACCTCTAAGACGCCTGTACTCGAACGGGTAAAGGTTAAGTGATTTGAGGCGCTCTTCGTAAGGTTTGAATTTGAGTCCCCGAACGGATTTCGTGGCTCGACGTTGGATACGTTCCAGAGTGTTCTTATCCTTTTGGAGGTAGGGAGGAAATACTATGTTTTCGTACTCTAAATGGGGACGAATAAAACTGTTGAAGATTATGTGGAAGGTCCTACCGTCAAACTGGCCAAAAATGAGCTTCAATGTTACCAGTGCAAGGTTTGCTTGAGAGGCGTTTTTGTCACAGTTCGCATACGATTTCAGGTCATAAGGTACCAACACTCCAAAATCTTTTTCAACTTGGGAAACTTCTAGAGGGGAGTTACCTAAGTTATAACTATAATCTGCAACATGTCTCAGATGGACTACCTTGCACTTTGAAGTGTTGAAGGTAAGACCGTTGTCGTCTGCTCAACTTTGAAGTCGGGTCAGATCATCCTGAAGAACTAGTATATCCTTATGGTTACGTATCTCTTCCTCCAAAGTTTCACATCATCAACAAAAAGCAATAAGTCAGATGAAACTTGTTGAGGAAGATCGTTAATATAAATCAAGAAGAGAAGAGGTCCTAGTATTGAGCCCTGGGGGACCCCACATGGACATTCCATAGCCTGAGAGAGAGCGAAGTTAATCCTGAATTTAAAGTGTCGGTTTTCCAGATATGCAGCGAGCCAGTCAATCAGAGGAGGTTTGATACCCAATCGTCTAAGCTTATTGATAAGACATACGTTGTTGACCCTATCAACAGCTTTTGAGAAATCAAGGCGAATGACGTCAACCTTCCTCTTGCAACCAAGGATGGTTGTCCATCTATCCACCGCAGTCAGCAGGTTGGCCATACAAGAGTGATCTTTTCTGAAACCCTGCTGTTGAGGTGAGAAGAACTTTGAGAATGATAAATATTCTTGCATACCGTCGTATATTAGAGATTCCATAATTTTGTAAGGTGTAGAGAGAAGGGCCACTGGTCGGTAGCTTGAGGGTTCACTGCGTCGACCTCCTTTGAAAATTGGTGTGATGTGGGCCAGCTTCCATATTTCCGGTAGTTTGCCTCTGCTTAGCGAGTGTGCAAACATCACGCTAAGTGGTGTCGCCAGGATTGAAGCTGCTTCCCTCAATACAGCGGAATGAACCATGTCCGGACCGGGAGAAGTGTCTTTTCTTAGGTGCTGCAGTTTACGGAGCACCAGGTCAGCACTCAGGTTCACTTCGGAAATTCCTGTACAGTTGCAGGTGAAGCTTTCGTCAGTATCGTTGATGTGGGTCAGCTGAAATGTCTGAGAGTATTGTTCAGCCAAAAGGTTAGCGGCATCACTGTCGTTATTGGTCGGGCCTTTAGGACCAAGCAGTTGGGAAACTCCAGTTTTGCCTTGTCGAAGAGAAGCTGCGTAACTGAATAAGCTCTTCGGATTGGAGACGAATTTATCGATAAGCTTGGTCTGGAACTGAAGCCTGTCTTCTCTTATTGCCTTTGTGCATATGTTCCTTATATGTTTGTATTGCCTGTACGCGCCGTTGTTATCAGTTCGTTTATATTCAGCACAACAGTGCTTTTTGCGGCTTAGCAAACGACGAGTGCTGTTCTTTATGATTGGAGGTTGTTTGTAGCTTTTTGGGACCATTTGAGGAACTGAATGATCAGTAGCACATAAGATCGTGTGCAGTAAAAAATCCCAATGAGCATCCACTTCAAGTTGAGGGTGAACATCACAATCCACCTGTTGTAGATAGTCATGTAAAGCTAACACATTCAACCGTTTGAAATTCCAGCGCTTGTTGCTAGTGGGATATCTTAGCTCCGTTTTGCTGACAAAGCTGAATGATAAGACGGCATGATCACTTTTGCCCAGGGAAGCCAGGATTGAGAGGTCGTCAACTAGGAATTCTTCATTTGTGAATACCCAGTCTAAGCGCGACGGCGTCTGATTGTTTCTCCAACGGGTTGCCGACTTCACATTTTCGAATAATCCCAGGTCACCGATGAGGTTGAAGAACAGAGCTTCAGTAGAGTTGGCACCTCCAATGTATGTTTGTTCCACGAAGTTGATTCTAGGGAGATTGAAGTCCCCTAGAATCAGGATTTGAGAGAATCCAAGACGCGTAGAGCGAGTTAATCCTTCCAGCAGACGTTTGTCATACTCGATGTCGGCAGTGGGCTTCCTGTAAATGACCCCAACTAGACACCTCGAGGTGGTAGACAATCCTACTGAGCACCATACTGACTCATCAAGATTGAGAAGCTCTTGGTGGTGAAGTTGGTGCGCATCCAGGCATGACCGTATGTATAGTGCTACCCCACCCCCCATTCCTCCTTTTCTGTCATTTCGAAATAAAGACATCCCAGTTATTGCTAACTCCTGGTCCGTAAACTGAGACGTTATCCAAGTTTCAGATATTCCTATCAGATGGGCATCATTAGCGTTGCTAAGTTCACGTAGCTCATCCATTTTGTTTGGCAAGCTCGCGGCGTTCGTGTATAGGCAGTTTATGCTTTCAATTTGGAACGCGTGAGCTACTCCCTGTTTGTCTATATGAGCCGTACATGAGTGGGCAAGTAGCCTACGTATACGATGTTTACCGAGTTGGTAGTCCCTGTCCTTTACACGTTTTTTTTATGATCAAGACAGTCCACGAGTGGAATTGTCAGCTCCAGCTTTCAGTTTCAGCTTCGGAAGTACAAAAAACTTGGTGGCGCATGTTAGTCCTGATAATTGTGGTCTCCTGATTGATCCACTTTTCTTTTGAAGGCATTGACAGATGGAGCTTCAATCACTTGTTGAGCTTATGGATTCTATTCGCAGATGATTTGATGGGAAAGTCGATAGTCAGCTGACAGGTAATTTGTTCTGGGCTCGTGAACTTTCCTAGAATGTCCTCGTAAATTCCTCGTAAATTAGCAGATGCTGATTTGTCATTAAGTAAGTTGAAACTGTGATCAACTTCAGCCTTCAGTAATAAGGGTAGTAGGTTGATGAACCTGTGTTAATCCTGACAGATTGACTTTCAATGAAGGTCCAGCTTCTCGTTGAAGATGTTCACTGATGGGGATGATACCACTTGTTCGGGTAAGGCGTTCCATTCATTGACCACTTGACGAGAAAAACGGGACCCCATTTTCAGTTTATTAGATCGCGTGTTGTAAACCTTTTTGCTATGACCCCGGAGATTATCAGTACTGGAGGAAGCAAAAAGATGAAACATATTAACGCTTAAATCATAATTAAAGATACGAAATACCGGTATAAGGTCACCTCGCGTCCCACAATAAAATAAGGGGAAAAAGTTTAAGCTTTTTAAACGCTCATCGTAAGGGAGTTTAGCAAGACCCCTCACCAATTTCGCCCCCACACGCTGGACACGCTCAAGTGAGTTAATATCCTACATCAGACATGAGCTAGCTGCTTGGATACAGTAATCTAAGTGTGGTGGGATATAAAATTCAAACCATCTCGTCAAAGCATTTGAATGCTCGGCGAAGTGACCATAATACACGATAACCTCTTAAAGCAGTTGTGTTGCAGTGCCTAGTTGTTTTCAAGTCGTGACTTATAGCTACTCCTAAGTCTTGATTTTCTTGAACGCCTGGAAGAGATGTGCTATCAATGATATAATGGCAACTATAACCGTGTCCGATGTGCATGAGCACACTCTTCTTAAAATTAACTCATCCATCCAGGCCAACTTGGAGATCAAAATGATCAACCTCACTTCTTATTAACCTCCAGATTTTGACATCATCCGCAAACAATAATGTCAACGACTTAAGTCAAAGCGGTAATTCATTAACATAGGGAAGAAAAGTAGAAGGCCTAAAATGGTACCGTGAGGCACATCACTTTTGACCGGCTTTTATTCGGATAGCGTTCCATTGACCCTCACTCTCTGTCTGCGGCCACATAAGAAGTTTCCTATCTATTCCTGTATAGCACCTGTTATTCCAAAGCTCGAGACCTAAGTGTGAAACATTGTCAAACGCTTTGCTAAAATCTATGAATATCACGTCGACAGAGAGGCCGTTATCAAGGGCTGCTGTTCAATCCTCTCTCGCAATAAGTAAGTTAGTCAAGCATGAACGCCTGTTACGAAACCATGTTGCTCGGGAGTTAACAGATTGTACGAATCTATGTGACCTAGTAACTCAGCCCGAATTATCTTTTCAAGTAACTTAACGTCTATGCTGGTTAGGCTGACAGGCCGGTAGTTAGATACAATTCGTCTCTGAACATCCTTAAATATAGGACTGACTGCAGCGTCTTTCCAATCTCTAGGCAGTTGAGAGAGCGAAAGGGATATGCTGAAGAGCGTCGCGAGCGATCTTAAAATTAATTCCGCAAGCGACGACACTAAACGTGGACGTAAACCATCGGTGTTTGGTATATTTGAGGTTAGTTATCAAGGGAAGAACAATTTCCTCAGTCACATGTGCATATCCTATGGCTGGTATCTTGGTGTAATTGGGACAAGTATTTGTGAAACTACACGTAGAGTAAATTTCACTAAAATAGTTTGAAAAGTTTCAGCTTCGTT